ATAGTCATCTAGATTTTCTTAATTTCCAACCAGATGAAAAGATTTGATGGATGCAAAATATTTAAAAGACCTTAAAATTTTTCTTAAAGTCATGTTTTACTGCTGCTGCTGCTATTTCCACAACAGAAAGGTCTATAAAACCAGGTTTATTTTTCCAAACATAAAACTTACGATTTTTTATTATTTTGCTGTATAATTGGTTTTATTGTACAGTGCAGATTCTGCCAAAAGCTTTTTATTCCTTTTACAGATGATGTTTAAAAAAAAGCATTCAGAAAAGTATTCTTACTGGAAGTTCAAGTAGAGGATCAAGCCAAAACGCTTGCAAACAAAGAATCGAAACAGTTTCATAGATATTTGATCTTTAAGAGCACAAAAACAAATGGTTGTAAAATACAGAGTGAAGTAAACAAACTCACCGGTGCTTCTCCTTCTCTCTAAAGTCCATAAAAGAGTTTATGATAGTCCGCTGTRGGAAAAATAAATATATAAAAACTTTACTTATTAAGATTGGTGGACTGGACTACATCTGGGGGAAAAAAACATCACTGATTGCTTTAATTCAGTGTGTTGTTTTTTCTTCCATGTCAGTAAGTTTTYGCTCTGTTTGTTCTTTAGAAGCAAAATTAATCTGATTTATTTATGTGACAAGATTTGCATTTACAGGAGCTTCCTCAACCAAAAACACTTTCATTTTTTTTAGAAACATTTGAACTAAACTAAAAAAAATTGCCCTTTTTTTGTAAAACTGAAGAAATTTGCCATTTCCAGTAAGTTTTTCCAAATGTGCATCAAAATTATTAATCAAAAACAGAAAAAAAAAACAGAGTCTATACTAAAGCTGATGAACGATGCTTACCAGTTTCTCAGCAGCAGTATTTTCCACAAACCTGGAGCCATGACCTGGACATCCTGGGCAGTGGATCGTAATCCCTGGAAAACAGAATATCGTGTTTTTTTTCCTCTTGAAGAGGTCAGACATTGATCAGAAACGATGGCACCATCTATTCTTTGTGCTTCATACTCACACCAGGGGTTCCTTTCTCCATAAAACACCGTGAATGGATGACCAGGGTTAGCCAGACCTCCAGAACACACAAAAACACACTTAAAATAGTTATAAAAATGACAAATTGTGGTGCAAATGTAAATTGGCAACAATCTTAAATTAACACTCCTAAACGCACACAATATTATTTTATTGGTACATATTTTTCTTTCAGCTGTATTCAGCAAAATAAAACGATCAGTAAAATAAAATGTTGTGCAAAATTGAGACTTTGCTTATTTCGAGCCATAAAGTAGTGGTCATTCTGTTTATTCCACAATAACATTCTTTTACTCAAAAAAAAAAAAGACTTCAGTAGTTAAACTACAGAAAAGAATCCCAGTTTTTATTTAAATATGTTTTGTCATGTCCTTGATGTCTGAGAATGAACAAATTTTTACTTCACTGGATCTGTTTGACGTTTAAAGTTCACATTTTTCAAAAAAATAAATAAAAATAAAAAAAAAAAGCTAATCATATGTGAGCATCTTAGTAAATAATCCCAGGACACATTTAATCATCTAATATGGAAAGTTAACATTTAGCTCGTTTAAAATGCTGCAGAGTGTGGATCATTTACCTTCATCCAGAGCAAAGCCAATGTTTAATTTTTGAAACTCTGGATGTGTCACAAATGTTTCCATTCCTTTGTGACCTCCAACTTCCTCATCTGGAACGACAAAATACACAATTTCCTATAAGTCTGAATTATTTTATTAATTGAGACGCAAGTCATTAGAGCCACGAGTTGATTTGTGGGGCGATGATGCAGAYGAGAATCTTACCAGGAACAAACATTAAATGCACAGTGCGAGTGGGTTTCCATCCTCCTTTCTTTAGTCTTCGGACTGCCTGGATGTACCTGCACAAAGCAGAACAGTGATGACAAAAACAATGAATGTTGTTTAAATTGAAGCTAAATATCTTTTCATTCAACATAAACATGAGTAGAAACCACAACAATACAAGAACAAAAATACTTTTGAAGTTTATACTCACTGAATAGTTACAGATTTCATGTCCTGTGATCCACGGCCGTAAATGTTGCCATCTGGATCTTTGAAAGCACCGAAAGCATCATGTTTCCAGTGTTCCTGGAAAAAAAATAGATGACAAGTTTATAAAAATACAGATAATAAGATTGTAACACACGGCACTGAGACCAAGGTCATACCTGGTAAACAGGTACAACGTCTGTGTGGGAATTCAGTAGGATGGATTTTAATGTGGGTTTCGTTCCTTCCCATGTCATGATTGACACAACTCGACTTGGACAAACCTTAAAGCAGATCAAATACACAAAAAATGATGAAACATGGCTGTCATGTGCTTAAAGCACATAAAACGACTGTTCTTCAAGTGGATTAAATCACCTCAATCTTTTTCATTGGTAGCTCAAGCTCCTCTGCAATTCTGTCCAAGAATCTGASAGCAGCATCTGTGGATGAATCAACACAAAGTGGAAACGTTGATTTAAATATTTAAAACTCTGTGCTTAAATTTGCTGTTAGTTTGGGTTATGGAGTAAAATCAAAGCAAGTAGCTAAGTTTGCTTGTATCCTTTTGCACTTTTAAGTGACTCTTTGCCATAAAAAAAATATCCACTGTGTAGTGTATAAATATGTAGGGCTGTTTAGAAAACCAACTGAATGCATTTTAAGTGATTTCTAATTTTACCTTTCTGGAATAACATGTAAAATAGTGATTATAAAGTAAACTTTCAATAGTACCTTTGTGAGGTGTTTTTGCCCAAATTACACATACTCAGTGGTGGGCACAGTTCCCCTAAAGCACTAAAAGGGGAACTAATTTCCTGATTAGTGCTTTAGAGCTTTTGCTATGTTTTTAATTCATTAGTGGTTTAGCACTTGCTAAATTTAGAAGCACTAACTGAGGTGGTTAAATGCTACTGATCAACATTACTGTTAACAGCTGAGGGTGAAAGCTGTCACATTTTGTTCATGTGTCACTTATCCTGTAGGTGACATATTGACAATATTCTGCACACAGTATTGTCATGAGACAATGACAGTTCTGAAGAATGTTCCATGGGTCAACTGGGTTATATTAGTGCTTTAGAATAAGCTTTTGCTCCATTTTTTTAGTGTGTTACTCCTTTAGAATTAGGGGACCTAAATATTTGAGTTTGTGCTTTAGGGTTAGTGCAACTAATGTTTAGATTAGTGCTGCCCACCACTGCATGTACGCAAACTTGTGGCTTGATCTAATTTAAGTTTGAACTTCTCAGAAACTTAAATTTGCATTTGAAACCTATTAAAAACACACCATCTTGTTAGGCTCAAACTGTCATTCCCTGAATCCAGTTAAACATTTTTCCTTTTAAGTGACGGTGCCACTAGTGAAGTTTGCAGGATTGCTAATGAAGCATTTAATGTGTAACTTGTGTCGATAAGAATTGGACTTTGACATAAGACACAGGCAAATCAGATTCACTTTTACACATCCAACATAATTTGTGTTACAGGATGTGTAAAACTAATTAGACAAACTGTAAAAGCAACATGTAGCCTAAATCAAGCTGTGCTGTAATTACAGTTTTCCTCACCGTAGTCAGGCTCAGGATGGACAGTTCTGAGTCGGAGGTATTCTCTGAACAGACTCACAGAGGGGTCCTCTCCTTCAGGTGAGCTCTGTCCTCCAACACCTGGACCATCTTTATCAGGCAGCATGGTTTGTTTACTCCCGCTAAGATCAAAGAGACACTCTGWCACATTAGCAACACAGCGTGTCAGAAACACCTGGTAAATATCTAGTTGCTGTCTTTACTGTGGCACAGATTTTAACAGGATGAGGCGCTGAATCCGGTTCCAGCTGGAACCCGGGTGACCCCCTCTGCATCCAGCACCTCTGCAGTCAGCTCAGGCTAGTTTCTGCTCTTCTACAACAAGCTAGGGCTGCGTCCGAAATGTTAGCTAACTTACCAAGATTACGGGTAGTAAGCGGCACTGGAAGTAAGCGGCGTCAAAGAGCGATTATTTGTTTCCTCTACTTAATAATTAGTTGCCAGAACTCTTGCCGACAAATGTCAACCAGCAGAAAGAGTTCAAACTATTGAGTCTTCCGGAGGAGGGGTGTTCACGTGTGCTCAAAAGACTTCAACCTCTCTAAAAGACAAAAATAAAAACTCAACACATTAGGAGACTATGTTATATTTTTTATAAATATATATGTATTACTTTATTCGTAACAAACAATCAAATTTATGCTGCGCGCATAATGCTAAAATACACGCCAAAACCCGTAAAATGGACTAAACCATTTCAGCGCTATGACGTCAGTAAAAATTATGGCAAACCAAATGATCATATAATACCCGGGACAAATTGCTGTTATGAAATATTTAATAAATAGTTTAATTAAAAAAATTAATAGTTAGAAAGGCTCTCAGGCAAATGTCCTTGATTCAGTTGTTCTTAGTAATTTTTTAATCTATCCAGGATTTTAAAATTCTACAAACTAACTAAATTATGTAAATTTCCCCACATTTATTTTTTCCTCACGTTTTGGGTTTCTAAAAGTACATTCTTCCTAACTCATCTAAATACTAAAGATATCTGAATTAGAGTTTTTTATTAAAAGAAGCTATAGCCATCAACAGTAAAAACNAACAGTAAAAACAGTCACTTGTACTTGAAAAAAAAAGTATGCATTTATATTTTCAATTTATATATATTTTTTGCTTGTACATAAAAATAATTTGCATTGGAAATGTGCAAATTCAACAAGCTCAGAAAGTAGATTTATAGCTTAGATTAATTGAAATATCTCATTCATGAACCTAAAGGAAAGTTTAACACAAATCAGTGTTAATCGGAGCAAATACATCGAGTCTTTAAAACGGAGTAAATTTACTGGTTGACAAATATGTGAGCTCGGCCCACTTCAGGTATTTGTAAYAATTTTTAACTATGAAATGGTTAATTACATAGAGAAATGAGGCCTAATTATATGCTACAATGACCTGCCTCAGTTTGTGTTGAGCAAGCCAACAAATTTTATTTATACACAAGCAAAACAATTTTAATTCAGGTTCTAGGAACAGCTAATGATATCTGCTTAGATGACCTGAGGATCTGGTATTATTTCAAGTATTGGGCCATAACAATTCACAAAAATTGTACTACTATATTTAAGATTCCAAATTAGACAGTGCAATAATTATGTAACTTCTATAAGTAATATTTATAACTTTATGAATAAAAACCTGCCTCAGTCAGTTCGTTGAATTCTCCTAAGTCCTGTTGACAGCATAAATAAATTAAATGTCCAGTCAGGAGAACTGACAGTAACTGGATACTTTACACTGTTTCAAAGTATAAACATGTATTACCTGTACTTAGAAATCTAATCTCACTGTGTGTAACTTCAGCAAGCTTATAAATATAGAATCTGACAAAAGTATAAAAAATAAAAATTATTTGAAAATGAACAAATGAAAGTCAGACATTGCTTTTCAACTGTGCTTCAACAGAATAAAAACAAAAAAGATAAAACTCATGAAACAGACCTGGACAGAAATGATGGTACCATTTACTTAATATTTTATTGCACAACCTCTCGAGGTAATAATCCCTGCAATCAAATGATTTCTGTAACTGTTAATGAGAGTTCTGCACCTCTCAGCAGGTATTTTGGCCCATGATGCAGTGTGAATTGTTTTATATAAAAATTAGCTTACTTCAGAATGTGTCTGAGACTGTAATTTAAAGTGCCTGTGACATGAATATCCTTTAAATACAGTCAAGACATACACTGCTCAAAAAAAAATAAAGGGAACGCTTAAACAACGCACGCTAACTCCCGATCTTAATCAGTGAAATATTCGCATTGAGTACTTTGT